AGAGAGAGAGAGAGAGTCGAAGGGCAGGAAAATATGCAGTCAAATCAAGTTTCGTTTTCGATTCAAGGATTTTATGAGTTTCTCAGAATGAAAATTATTTTTCGTCTCATACGATGTAAAAGAAAATTGCTAAATGCTCTAATCGCATAAGTCGTGCACGTCATTAATTTTTTATATTATTATTTAATGTAAGACACATTTAGTAATGTGTTTTACTTAAATATGAGCAATATAAAAAGTTTAATAGATTACATCATTTTTTATATTGTGCGTACTAGCACACTTTAAAAAATCAAATATATGATAACAATCAAATATATGAAATGTAAAATATATGTTCATTTTTGTAAATTTATATAGCCGATATAATCATGCAATTTTATTTTCAATTTTTATATTTTCAAAAAAATTTATCGTAGAATAAATTTTACATTTATTATATATTATACTACATACAATTATTGTAAATATTAAATTGATATTTTGATGAAATTTTTATATTTTCTAAATTATATAAAATTTTTTATGTCACTGTAAAACTGATAATTGATAATAATAAAACTAATAATTGATCTGAATTTTTATGTATTTCTCTAATATGTTATTCACAAAAATTAATTCAAAACAGTTTTTATTTCGACATTTTTGTTTTTGAATAACTTATTATTTTTTTGAATAACTTTTATTTTAATTATTTATTAATTACACAAGCTTACAAAAAATATTTTATTTTTGACCCAGAAACGGCAGTAATGTCGAAAGAAATTTTGACATGTTAAACTAAATCCGTTGTTCAAATTGTCCATAGTTTATCACAACAGATGAGATATTCTAATCGTAAAGTTTCAAAAAGCCCTATTTTTAGAATATCTCTTGTAACTATACAATATAATATGCCTTTTGTTGCCCCCTGAGAGTTCTTACTTACATTCGTGTCCGCTAAAAGGTGAGCGCTAATTAGCACCATATTAGGTAGCCTTTTTTTCTCGCAAGAGAAGTGACAATCTTGCATCTTTAAATATGAGATCAAGAACCATCTCTCATTCTTGTTCTCGTTCTCATTCTCGTTAATTACTCTGAATTTGGGTAAGTGCGGCGACATATACTTGCAATATTTAATTTTTTTTTATTTCACTATGTCGATCCACATTTATAAAATCTCATAGATTTTCGTAAATTTTTTTTTCAAAGCTTTGTTCGAGTTCGTAATTTATGTTTCTCCATATCAGATTTATAAGATATTCTAAAAATGTTCGATAGGCCTTTTTGAAATTTTAAAGTTAGACTATTTCGGAAACTTGACGTGATGGAGCAATTTGGAATTTGGTTTTAACATGCCAAAAACCTTCGGGATTACATGTCGTCAAAACTCATATTGCTCTGTATTATTAAATATTTAATCTTTTTGATAAATGATTTATAACATAGTTATTCTATCATAGTTAATGATTTTTGATTTTATATTTTTAATTCATTTCATTCATAAATTCGATATCTTCAAAAGAGGTATGATATAAGAAGATCCACAGATACGATTTAGGCGAGCAGTTACTTAAATCATATCTTTTGCAGAATATTACAAAAAGGCTTGTAACAAATTAATTTATTATTAATAAAAAATTAAATGTGCGATAATAAGTGTCTGAAATATCAAGTTACGTAGCTTTTATAAATCAGAATAAAATGCGAAATAAAAAGTAGCCTAAGTGGTATTTGGCCTATAACTCTGTCCTTTAGATCTTAATTATAGAAAGCTGATTTAAAAAATATCGCATTTGCAAGAGAGAAAAAGTGAGACTATGTAAATTGAATTGATGCTTGTTTAATCTCGTTTATAAATATGATTATTGAAAGAGCATGGCACCGTAGATTCAATTTCATTCATCCGATTATGATATTCATTTGTAACATACAGGTAATTAATTTTCCTGTAACATAATCAGATTAGACATTAGCATGAGATGGAAAAACGCGAGAGAAGCGGATCCATCCTTGCGTTTTCTGACGAGAAATTCATTTATGCGCACCATCTTCTGATTCTGAAGCAAAATAGAAAACACGATTTATTTTCAATTCGTCACAAAGTTAGAATTGCATTCTGCCGTTCATATTATATTAGTTCAATGAAATAATGTTATTTTATACATACTATAAAAAAAAGATCTATGTATATATAAATATTTTTTATTTTTTTAAATATGTATATATGATACGATTAAAAAAAATAATATTAACGATTAATCTCTTTACCTTTTAAATTGTATTTAATGTTATTATTTATTAATATTATTATAATTATGTTATTATTATTATATTATAATAATAATTATTATTATTTAATGTTATTTATGTTACTTTACATCTTTTAATCGAAAAGAATATTTTAACTGTTGAATATTTAACTGTTAACGTGCTTTTAGAAAATAATTTGTAGAAATTATTCGCAAAAAAATATCTCAGCCGTCACCCTGGCCGTCAATTACATAACTGTGATCACACTGTTCTTTATTTATCGTGATTATCGTCACTGCTCATTCACGTCGAAACATCACGACAGAAACGGCTCGTTTAAGAGCCGATGGCGACCCTTCTCCGTTAGGAATCGTAGGCTCCCAAGTATTCGTACCTGATGGGAAATAAAACCTGTCAGAGGAAGGACAGAATTATGTGGTCGGGTGATCCCGGCATGCCGGTAGGTCTCATAATCTTCAGGTAGTCGAGAAGAGGAAGAAAGAGAGAGAAAGAGAGAGAAGGTATTCCTCCGCGTTAGGATTAAGCATAATTTCTTGTAACTTGGCGAATGCAAACGCGCGTGATCATCGAGTCGTGATAGTACACCTTGCTTTTCTCCTTGTTTGCATTAAAACGCGACATCTGAGCGACACGAATGTCACAGAGAGGTGTCGCAATAACTCGCATACGGAACTTTATAAAATAATTTACGCGATGGCAACGTGCATCGTACAAACAATTTAATTGGCATAAATGCGAGATATCAATTTGAACGCACGACAAAATTTGTTAAATTTTCCACACGGGACGCATTTTATCTAAAAAAATTTATAATCTAGTTTATGAATTACATTATTTTTGAATGAATACGTTAGCGTATTTGGAATTAAAGATTTATAAAAATAAACAAATATATAATATCATTATCTATATTTATATTTCTATATCTTTCGATTGAATTGGTATTTAATTAAGCAGTGCGTTAAATCACTATACGAGATGAGTGAGATGGATAATCATCGCTTTTATTTGCCGATGTTCATTGCGAGCTAAGGTCGCAGTAAAAAAGGTCGTGGCCAAATCATATTTCACGGAATGCCGAAGGGAGAGTGTGTCCTACGACAGAAGAAGAATCACCTGTTACGCCTCCTAAATCCCGCGGGGAGTTTCTTTTCTATATTCGAATTCTTGGGTAAACGTTACTCCGCGCGTCCGCCTTCGAGGTGCTCCTACCTCGAAACTCAAATTTTTCACTCGGAGTGTTATTTCACCGATATACGTCTCGCACATTCGTTAGGAGCCGTGCTGTGTTGGCACGGCATTCCGTTCCTTCATGGAAATGGTTCTAGCCTCGGAGCCGCGGGAGAAGTG